CAGAAAACCCATGCAGTCCTACTCCATCCCACCTGGGATGTGAATCATTGCTTTGTCCATGTGATGGTAACTATATACATTGGCCAGTGTCTCCCCTGTTCCCTGCCACCTCTCCCCTCTAGCCTCCAATCACCATTCAACTCTACTTCTACTCCTGTGAGTTCAACTGTTTTATATTCTGAGAACAAATGAGATCATGTGGTATTCAACTCTCTGTGCCTGGCTTATTTCACTTAACATAATGTCCTTTAAGTTCATCCATGTTGTTGCAAGTGACAACTTGATTTTGAAATTACTCTCAGCCTTTTAAATATGACATACACAAACGTTGAGAAGGACAGATATGGTTGAAGAATACAGGCAGTAAGAATAATAAATTAGTGTGATGAATTTTAATTGGGTATTAACTAATAGCATGATCTCCTATTGTAGAGGCTTACAGTGTGTCAGAAGCTTGCTGCCAGAAGAATAGACCCATGCAAAAGCCAAAAGGCCACATATTCCTTGACTTTGGGCTGAAGCCATTATTAGCATGGCTCTTTGGTTGAAAAACTTATTCCCTATCACCAGGTCGTTCCTTCCCTCAGTTTGAATAATCTCTGAGAATCTGAAACAACTACTTCATTGTCAAGAAGTTAAAAGCAATTGATAAATTGTTCTGGTAACACCTGTCAGTGAATTAACTCAAAGCACAAAACCCAGGCATTTCAGGAGTTGACAAGTATTATTAAACTGTTTTGCAAGAGAAGAAGCCGGTTCAAAGAGGGAAAAGCTGTCAAGTAATACATCACAAGAGGCTCAGGCCTCCTGCCTCAAATACTCAGGCTTAAGCATGAGACCTCTCATGGCAGGGAAGAGCACAGGGCCATGTGTCACTTGGTCATTTCTGTCCAATTCAAAAATGTTATAACATTTTTAAAACTCTGAATTTGTTTCGGATTCAAATGTATTTCTTATGGGTGTTTTTTTCTCTGTGGGATTTCTCCCTCCTTCAGAAATATATACTATTTTAATTTTTAAATGGTAGCAACAGTGTTTTTCTGCTTCTGCCCTCCCTCCACCCTTTGAGCACTTTAATTTGTCTTCAACACCCTGCTAGATAGAAGAGTAATGCTTGAATCCAGGGGGTTGTGCTCTATTCAGCTCCTTTCTTAAACATCAGCATAATTTCATGATTTCAATAAGGCAAAAATTAGGAAAGCCTAATTCAAAGTAAATTAGGATTTAAAATTCAGAAATGCTTCTGTCTGTTTGTAATTAACTTTCCAATTGCTCTCTCTATTCCATTCTTTACTCTTTAAATTTACTTTTATAAAAAAATATGCAATAAAATATTTTAGTTTATGTTAAACAGAAGCATAGCATACAAGATAGGGTTAGTGCACCTACTCTACTCAGCAATGTAATAGAGGAAGCAAGAATAAGGGGGCAATGGAATTGAAGCAGGGAAACAGGAAGAGCCCATATGAAGATATTTGACATGCTCTAGTTGACATTCCTCCAAGTAACTGGTTGTTCAGTCTTTCAGTACAGCCCAAAGAGCCACAGCAAACAAACAGAGTAGAAAGCATGCAGCCCTGGCAGAGCTCCAAGAGGTTCATCTGCAAGAATCCAATTGGTGCACAGGAAGAAGAGGTGACTGGAAAATAAGGAAGGACAATGAATTAGTAGTGATGAATGGTATCCCGTAATACACAAATATATTCTTGTTGTATACACTTACATGTGCATAATTATATAAAGTAAAACATGAAAATTTTAGACCCACCAGGATTTCTGTCATAAACATTTCATTTTTTGTGCATTTACATATCATATGAGAACATGCAGTCATGCAGTGCATAATGACATTTCTGTCAACCGTGGACTAATATACAAAGGTGATCTCTCAAGAGCTTATTGTGACAGAAACAACAAAATCACCCAACAACACATTTCTCAAAACAAATCCTCTGGTTAGGCCAAGCATTACTGTAGATATATTTTTCCTTTTAAAAGACAGAAACCAGATCATGATAAGCTCCTTGCTCTATAAAGAATTTGTTATTTTTTTTTTCACTCATCTGTTACTTGCATTATTAGGCTTGGATTTTATCCCATTGTTAGCAGGTTGATCTTGTCCTGTACATCAGGAAACATTGAATCAACATTTTTGGATTATTGCATGAATGAAGGAATAATAATATGACTTAGACAGTTTTTGCTTATGGAAGGGGATGCTACTAAAATTGGGAATGCAGTGGGCAAGATCTGGTTAAACAGGGAATTGTTGTTGCCAGGCACTTGTACAGTCATCCCTGCCAGTCTCACCTTCCCCTAATCACCACCTCAGCATCCTCGATTCAGAAGCAAGAATGGATGGTATACAGGGGGGACATAGAAAAGAGACAAAGGGAGACTCTTAAATGATTTTGTTCTGTCAGCAATTATCTGTTCAATGTCTGCTAAGTGACAGTCCCTCTGGATAAAATGGAGAACTTAGTAAACTATCCCTGTCCTTGTATAGGGAAAATCTACAACTGGAAAAAGAAAGAAGCAAGAGCAGGGGAAAGATGCAGAAGGAAGCGAAAATAGTAAAATACCAAAGGAGTGAAGAATTTCAGTGATTGATGAATTAATACAGTGCTTGTGTTAATATCATTTATTTAGAAATGAGCTTAAATTCCAGCCATCTGCTTCCACATCAGACACCCACTATACCCTGACTCCACCCTCCCCTGCATACATATACATCCCAATAATAATCTGATGATACATTTCTCATGATTTCCCACAGCTAATAATAAAAGATATTTTATTCAAACCACAAATTGTGACCCAGATATAAATATAAATATAGTGAGAGCCATAAGTTTCTTTAGTGACAGTCTTGCTAATTAAGTTATTTGGCCTGTTTTTAGCCACATTGGATATTTTTTCTTTATAAGGTTGTTATGAGTGTTGTTTGTAGCAGCATCAATAAGCCAAGAATTCACATAGTTACTCAATCACACAGATTACTCATCATTGCCTGTTCATAACAGAATCCTAAAATGTTTAAGATTTCTGATGCAAATCAAAATCTCATCATCACTTGTCATTGCTAAATTAAATGACAGGATAATAACATTACATTAAAACAATTTTTCTCTTGATTGAGTACCTTTTTCAGAAGTGAACCTTCTAGATGTATATTTTTTTTCATCAGTACTATAAATGCATTTAGAATCCAAGGTAAAAATAGAATTGAAAAGGGGAGGAGTGGGATGTTTTCAAATTATTGATGAGTCTCTTTTGAATTTCAACCATATTTGACAGCATACTGCTAGGGAATGGAATAGTTTAGCCCAACTTATTGACACTTTTAGAACCACATAAAGAAGGTTCACAGGTTGAGCTTCATCTTTTGAAGAAATTATGTGTTCTTGGCATCAACTATACATCAGCCCATTTGCAAGCAAGCTGTTAGTGACCTGTAGGAACTGGCGTTGTTCTTTATTCTAATGTAATGATATGTAATAAGATACTGACTTCAGATACATCACAGCCTGAAAATTAATATGAATTTATAATTTGTTCATTAGTTCTCAGTAGATGTACCATTGCAAATTTACCTCTTTCTTTCCTACCTAAATTAACCTTTCTGGTCACACCACCCTCCTCCAACTGCTCCATCTGGCCCTTGGACCTCTTCTATGTGACCAGGCACCCAGTCCTCCTGCCATTAGAGCCCATCTCCATTCACTGTTATACCCAGAACTCCTCTTCCATTTTATAGTCAATCATTTGCTGTCCTCCTCCAAATATTTTGTTTCCTCACATCTTCCATCATATATATATATATATATATATATCTTTATTTTTATGTGGTGCTGAGGATCAAAACCAGGGCCTCAAACATGCTGGGCAAGCACTCGACTGCTGAGCCACAACCCCAGCCCACATCTTCCATCTTTAAGGTGCTAAAAATCTTATATTGGAACAAACATGATTAGGCAATAACATGGTAAAAAGTCCTTAGCTTTTGGAGAAGTCAGTGAAGGTAGGGACTGAAAGAAGATTGGCCATGGGTGGATAGTTACTGAGTCTGGATGATGAGTGCCAGGAATGAGGGGAGTCAATACACTACTTTCTCTACTCTAATGTTTGGAAAATTCAATAATAAAAATTAAAAACTAAATAGCTCTTTAGGATCCATTGCTTTAAATCGATGTTCTTTGTTAGTCAATGCATGGAATAATGTGGCATGCAAGATGGACTAGGACCCAAATCTGATCCTGCCCCCTCAATACCTTGCTCCTATTTCTACCTCCAAGTAAACTAATAATTTGGGGGAAGATGGTGCTGAAGATTAAACCCAGGGGCACTTAACCACTGAGCTATGCCCTGAGTCCCTTTTTGATTTTTGTTTTGATACAGGGTCTTGCTGAGTTGCTTAGGGCCTCTCTAAGTTGCTGAGGCTAGTCTGAAACCTGCAMTCCCCCTGCCTCAGCCTCCACAGTTGCTGGGATTACAGGCGTGAGCCACTGCACCAGCACCCAGCAACAAATAGAATTTTTTCCTGCCTGCCTGGAATTACACTTTCCCTCTTCTCCTTAGGTCCTGTACATGATCACTAAAATCCTAGTATACCTCTCACCTCTTATAGAAGTGACCTGCTAATCCTCTACAGAAATACACGTTGACTTCATCCCAGTTAGTACCTCCCACTGTGAATAAAGCCCTGTGCTAGCCACTGGGGAGGGAGTATGAAACAGAAGTACCTGTGACTAACCCTGATGTAGTGCACCCCAGCAGCTGTCCCCCAAAGTCCAACTGCATAGAGAGAGAGTTCTGTCAAGGCCATGCCAGCAATGATAGGAACTCTGAATGTCACCCTGAAGAGGGAGGCGATCTCCCCTGCGTCAACTCTCAGTTTTAATGTTAAGGCTATGTAGTGCTGCACCAGGTAGCTTCTATAGAACTTAAATTGATTGTAGTTACCAATGTGCTTTATTTCTTCTCTTTTTAAATTATAATAGTATGACTTCTCGTTTGCCAAAAACTGGAGAAACCATCCAAGGACACAAGTTTTTTATTGGCTTTGGAGGGAAAGGTGCCAACCAGTGTGTCCAAGCTGCTAAGCTCGGAGCAAAGACGTCCATGGTGTGCAAGGTAAGCCCAATGGTGAGGATTCTAAAAGCAACAGTCTGGCTTTAAGACAAATCTGTTGCTTTTATTTTTCTTAGCCATTATAAAATGAATAATTCAGTGGCATTTGGGATATTCACAGTGTTGTGCAACTTATGCTTCTATCCAGTTCCAGAATATCACGGTCATTCCAAAGTAAAACCCTTTAAGCAGCTTCTTCCCATTTCCTCTTTCCCCACCCCCACCCCTGCCCTGGAAACCACCAATCCACATTCCATGTCTATGGATTTATCTATTTTGAATATTTCATCTAGGTGGAATATGTCATATGTGACATTTTGTGACTGTCTTCTTTCACTGAACATGCTGTTTTTGAGGTTCAACCACCTTGCCTCATTTATCAGTAATCCTATTCTTTTATGGACAAATACTATCCCATTGTGTGGCTATACCACGATTTGTCCATCCATCCATCCATAGCCAAAGTGATTGATGGATGAACCCTTGCCCGGTGTCCGCCATTTGGCTGTTGTCCTCTCTACTAGTTTCTACCTCGCTGGAAGTAGCAGTCCTCAAATAACTTAGTGCTGCCCTCCCTGAGTGGAACACGTTTTTAACTCAAGTGTGAGATTCGACGGAATAGCCTTCTTTGGTGGGCTTCTAAACAACAGCATGACTCACCCCGTGTTTAGCAGGTCTCTTTGCAGCAACACAGCTTTTGGAAAATTAGTCCAGTAATTGGTGATTTACTCATCACGAAGTCATTTTCTTCCAGTGCCATATCTTAGAAAGGAATTTGGACCTTAATGAACTACACATAACTTATCCTTTGGCACACGTCTGTGTTCAGGTGTGGAGAGAAATGATATGTAACATTCAGGGATTCTATTTCTATTCATCCTACTGGGATAATTTGAAAATCAATGAAAAGTTTCAAATTTTGCATCTTTCATGTCATTTGAAGTGCTAGCATTACTAGTATAACAGGAAAGGTAGATTATGTTGGGTTTTTTACCTTTAAATATAAAAATGTATTTATTCACTATTGTTGTTTTTATACAGGAAATAACAGGCTAGGTTTACAGAGTAGCAGATACAAAAAACTTGACTTAAAAAATGAGTCCTCTTCTGTGAACTGTGCAGATTTTGCCAAAGTCTCTCTGAAATATCATTTCACATTGTACACAACACTTTTCTCTCAGCAGGAGTCTGTAAGTGATATATAAACTACACAATTATCACTTCATCTACTAATGAACTGTAGCTCTCTTTCTAATTTATGGCTACATGATATAATTCTCATGTGGCTATTTGGTCAAAAACATCACATGAAGTACAACATTCAAAGTAAAAAATCCTTAATTGCTGAGGTTGATTTCTCGATTAATTTTAATTATCAGTACAATTAATCAGCAATTAATTGTGTTCTAGGAATTAAAGGTCTCTGAGAAGGGGCTGGGGAAAAGCTTTAGGCCTTATCCATCCCATACTTGATTAAATAGTATAGTCTAGGAGTAATCAGATACTGCAGACTTAAGGGGACAGAAGAGCTAGAAAGAGGATGATATAATTTCCTGACAGGAAAACCCAGGACGTAGAATTGGTGTTGGAAGCTGGGTTCCCAAAATGGCTGTCCTGGGAAGAGGGGAGTTCCCTGGAGCTGGAGGTGTGAAATAAGAGATTAGAGAAACTTCCCTCTTGGAAGCCTTATAGAAACTATTCATGTAGCCATTGAAGTCAAGATTAGATGTCCCCTGGGATCTCATCCAACTCTGAGATTTTGAGATTGATTTTATTTTAGGTTTGTTGAATTTGAGGCAAAGAGAGAAACACAAAATAGAAATATTTGAATTGTAGAACTGAACTTGGGAAATGAATCATGAAACCAGATGAGTGGATGTGAGAGGAATGGCAGGGAGCTGTATTTTGGGAAATGTTCCAGTTAGGAGGCTGGTTGAAGCACAGGTGCTGTCTGTCTTCTTCTGGAGTGTGATGGTTTATGTTAGCATCTCAACAGTTTCAAAAGTTCTTCACATCTACTGTGGCCCCAGCACAGTCATCTCATACTTGTCCCACAGTGGAATTTAGCCCGCAGAGTAAAGAATAAGAAAACATGACTTCAGGTAAAACCTCTGCAGGGCAACTTTGCTTAGCTGCCCTGGAACCCTTAGATGGGGATTTATTTAAAAGTTTGACCAAATTGTATTATATTTTTAGACTTCTTAAAAGAAAACTATTTTTATAATAGAARTTATTATCTATCCATTCATCATGAAGTTTTTCCACTGTGAATTATATTTTTCTTAATTTTAAAAAAAAAAATTAGTTTTAGATGGACACAATACCTCTATTTTATTTATTTATTTTTATGCAGTGCTGAGGATAGAACCCAGTGCCTCACTCGTGCTAGRCAAGTACTGTTCCACTGAGCTACACCCCYAGCCCKTAAATTATATTTTTATTAAGCAAATTGGCTAAACTTGCTTTATAGCAGATTGTAATTTTTTATTTTCATTTATTTGTTTATTTTGGATACGGAGATTGAACCCAGAGGCACTTTACCACTGAGCTGCATCCCCATTGCTTTTTATTCTCTATTTTGAGACAGGGTCATGCCAAGTTGCTGTGGTTCTCAATAAATTGCTGGGGCTGGTCTCAAACATGTCATCCTCCTGCCTTAGCCTCCCAAATCACTGGGATTACAGTTATGCACCACCACAGGTTATAGCAAGTTTTTAAAGATGATAAATTCAAATTAGAAACCTTTTTATGGTTTGGATGTGAGGTATCCCCCAAAAGCTTATGTGTGAGATAATGCAAGAAGGTTCAAAGGAGAAGTGATTGGGTTGTGAAAGTCTTAACCCAATCCGTGGACTAATCATCTGATGGTATTGAGTGGTAACTGAAGGCAGGTTGGGTGTGGCTAGAGAAAATGGAGCATTGGGAGCATGGCTTTGGGGTATATACTTGTATCTGGTAAGTAGAGTCACTCTCTCTGCTGTCTGATCATCATGTGAACTGCCTTCCTCTGCCACACTCTTCTACCATGATGTTCTGCCTCACTTTGAGCCCCAAGGAATGGAACCAACTTCCTATGGACTGAGACCTCTGAAACCATGAGACCTCAGATAAACTTTTCCTCCTCTACAATTGTTCTGGTTAGTCACAGCAACAACAACAACAACAAAAAAAAACCTGATTAAAACAAACCAAAATCATGAAATTAATCAAGATAAAAATGAACAGATAGGAGAAAAGAAAACTAGAAAATTCCCTCTTTCTTAGCAACATTAATTTACCTATCCCTACTCTATAAAAAGTTAGAAGTCAAGCTCTAATGAAGCAAGACTGTTTGGTGGCACAGGCAAAAATGCTTATATTGCTAAAGAGAATTATTTGTCAAGATATTGTGACGAAAAGTATGAGTCACATCAACATTTAAACTGTAAGGGGCTGGGGATGCAGTTCATTGGTGGAGTACTTATCTAGCATGTACAAGACCTTGAGTTTGGGGCTGGGGATGTGGCTCAAACGGTAACACGCTCGGCTGGCATGCACGGGGCGCTGGGTTCAATCCTCAGCACCACATAAAAATAAATTAAAGATGTTGTGTCCACCAAAAACTGAAAAATAAGTATTAAAAAATTATTTTAAAAAGGTGGTTGTTACTTATGTGCATGTCTCAGTCCATTCAAATACTTTCAACCAAGCTTTTTTAAAAAAAAAAAAAAAAGACCTTGAGTTTGATACCCAGCATTGCAAAAAGCAAAAATAAAATAAAATATTTGCACAGTGATACATAAGTAATGAAACACTTGAAGTAGTTAAGAATTATGTCATGACCAGGTGGCACATGCAATGACACATGCCTGTCATCCCAACAACTTGGGAAACTGAAGCAGGAGATCCCAAGTTCAAGGCCAGCCTCAGCAACTTAGACACTTGCTCAAAATAAAAAGAGTGTGGATGAAGCTCAGTGGTAAAGCACCTCTGGGTTCAATCCCCAGTACAAAAAAAAAAAAAAAAAGAAATTGTGTCATGGGCTAAAACTGTACAGTCCAATGACAATTGAAGATGGTGTTTTGAGATTGAAAATCCAGGGAGATATTGTAAATGTTTCCTCCTCCTTTCTATTGAAGCTAAATGTTGGGGAGGAGGGAGTTATTTCCAAGCATCAAACAGGCAGTTTAGAAGAACCATGTTGAACAAGGAGCCCAAGACACAGAGACACGAATGAGCCCAGAAGCCCTGCTTTCATTGCAGGTGAATGGAAGCCATGAGCAGAAATGGACCCAAATGACCCAGGTCAGGAATCAGCAAACTGGAATGACCTTCAAACATTGCCTGGTCTTCCCTCCTACAAACCTGAGACTATCTAAACTCTCTAATACAGGTAGCCATCTGTTTTCCCTTCAGAAAGGTCAGGCAGTAGGTTAGGGCAATGCTACTCCAAGTTCATTCAGGCCTGTACCAGACTGCAGGCTGTCACGGCTTTGAAAGTCTGCAGAGAATCATTTATAGCAATTTGACATGGTAATGTTATAGTTGTTGACTATAACAGTAATAATAAATCAGACCTTGTATTTTGTAGGGTTCCCTTTTGTTTCTATTTCACTATTATATTTTACAAAATTATTAATTCATAATGGGTTGTAAACAAGAAAAAAAAATGGACATTCACCACAGAGCACTTGAAAAGTAGTTCATTCGAGTGCCCATCAGCTTACCCTACAAGCTGCCTTCTGTGCTAGATGATGTGGGAACATCAGCTGGCTGCACATTGAGGTTTTCATCTTCAGAGATCAAAAATTAGTAATCAGGTCCTTTCAGGTAATATATAATGAAGTAAAATCTGTCCTTTCCTTAACTCTGTAGAAGGGCAACAGGCCAAAACCACTCGGCTGTGCTGACTGGAGTTCCAAACACAGGGGATCTTATGACCCCAACAAAACAAATAGTATGTACCTTATGTCACCTTACATAGGAAGAAGTGACGGAAATGAAATAAAATAATGGGATGACCC